CTGTCCCTGTCCCTGTCCCTGTCCCTGTCCCTGTCCCTGTCCCAGGCTGACCAGGGCACGGGGCAGGGGCTGTCCCTGTCACTGTCCCTGTCCCTGTCTCTGGCACTGTCCCTGCCAGTGTCACAGGCTGACCAGGGCACGGGGCAGGGGCTGTCCCTGTCCCTGTCCCTGTCCCTGTCCCTGTCCCTGTCCCTGTCCCAGGCTGACCAGGACACGGGGCAGGGGCTGTCCCTGTCACTGTCACTGTCACTGTCACTGTCCCTGTCTCTGGCACTGTCACTGTCACTGTCCCTGTCCCAGGCTGACCAGGGCACGGGGCAGGGGCAGGGGCTGTCCCTGTCCCTGTCCCTGTCCCTGTCACTATCCCTGTCCCTGTCACTGTCCCTGTCCCTGTCCCTGTCACTGTCACTATCCCTGTCACTGTCCCTGTCCCTGTCCCTGTCCCTGTCCCTGTCCCTGTCCCTGTCCCTGTCCCTGTCCCTGTCCCTGTCCCTGTCCCTGTCCCTGTCCCTGTCCCTGTCCCTGTCCCTGTCCCTGTCCCTGTCCCTGTCCCTGTCCCTGTCCCTGTCCCTGTCCCTGTCCCTGTCCCTGTCCCTGTCCCTGTCCCTGTCCCTGTCCCTGTCCCTGTCCCTGTCCCTGTCCCTGTCCCTGTCCCTGTCCCTGTCCCTGTCCCTGTCCCTGTCCCTGTCCCTGTCCCTGTCCCTGTCACCATCCCTGTCCCTGTCCCTGTCCCTGTCCCTGTCACTGTCACCATCCCTGTCCCTGTCCCTGTCCCTGTCCCTGTCCCTGCCCCAGGGTGAATCTCCACCTCCCCTGCTGCGGGAGCCGGCCCCGGTGGGGACAGGGTCCCGGGCAGTGGCAGGGGCGTGCAGCCCCTCCTGACGCCGTGTGTGCCCTCAGGTACGAGGAGGAACCTCCGCAACGACCTGCTGGTGGCCGCTGACTCCATCACCAACACCGTGTCCTCGCTGGTGAAGGAGCTGCACTCAGGTAAGGGCCGAGCCCCGAGGAGGGCTGGCAGCCACGGCGGGAAGATTTGTCCTCAGATTTACCTTCTGCCACAGCTCCTGCTCTATTAACTCTTATTTCTGTTGGAACTGGGTTTGGTCTCTGTTGTTTTCTGTCATGTGAGGTTGCGTGTCCACGTTCTCAGTGAAAATCCAGTTTTGTGGCCTGGGCAGTGCTGGGTGATGACCTTAGTGACACAGTCACTAGCCAGAGCAGGTTTTTGGGGTGAGCGTCCCCAAATTCCTGCTTAGTCCTGCAGTGCCTGACCCTCTGCCGTGCCTCCCCATCAGATGATGCAACCATGTCTCAACAGCTGTACAGGAGGCCAGATTCATCCCTTGTCGTTAAACAGTGATGTGGAAAACAGATAATTACTGCCTCTGAGCCTCTTCCCCTGCCAGGGGAGCTGAACACCCCTGTGGGGCTGGGGCAGCTCCTGCCTCTCCCAGGGAAGTGTCCCCTGGAGCCTTGTCAGCAGCAGGGCTGGGACCATGCAGGGCTCCAGCAGCCAGTCCTGCTGCCAGGAGGGTTTCTCCGTGGAGAGGAAGGGTTGTCAGGCTCTGAGAGGGGCTCTCCAGGGGGCACTCCCCATCCCTGCAGGTGCCCAAGGAAAGAGTGAGCTCAGTGCTGTGGGCTGGTGGCAAACAGGGGAGCAGTGCCAGCTTGGACTCCGTGGGTGCTGTTTTACAAGGTGAAGGATGCTGTGGTTCTGTTCTGGGCTGCCTCTGCTGCTCAGGAGGGAGAGAAGTGCCCTGTGTCTGCTCCTGCTCCCTGCTGGACCCAAATTCCCCACAAAGCTCTCTCCCTGGGTGACCCACGAGGCTCTGCCGTGGTGCTGGAGCCTCCTGGCATGAACGGGGGGGTTTCAGTGCCCAGCAGTAAATCCCACCCCCCCTCCAGCCCCCTGTCCTGGCAGCAGAGGCAGCTGGAGTTAATCAAGTTGCCCATGGATGACACAGCAGTAGCAGGGCCACCAGCTCCCACATAAATCACCTCAGCTCTGCCCCTGAAGCTCAAACACAGAGAGCAAACCTCTGCCCAGAGTCTGCACTCGTCCCTTTTTGCTTTCCAGAGCAGAAGGGAGGGTTGTAGAATCATGGAATTGTGGAATAACCCGAGTCAGAGCCACAGGGATCGTGGAGTCCAGCTCCCGACCCTGCCCAGGACACCCCAGCAATCCCAGCCTGTGCCTGAGGGCCAAATCTCCATCCCCAAACCCCCTGCCTCCATCCCCAGGGTCCATCCCTGGCCACCAGCCGTGCCAGGGACCTGCAAAGCCCTGTGGCTCACCAGGGAGTGGGAATGCAATGAAAATGGAGCTGCTGCCAGGCTCGTGCTCGGGGAGATGCAGAGAGCGGGGAAGGCTGCCCTGAAAGTGTGTGAAATGGTGTGGTTTGTGCAAATGAGGAAGAGCATGAGTTATCCTCAGCTGATGGGAGCCAGCAGGATGTCACACGTCGTGTCCCGAGGGGAGCTGTGGGAGCAGGCAGCTCCTGCAGCGTGGGGAGGGTGGGATCCAGGGGGGCTGCAGCTCCCAGCCTGGCCTGGCCTGCCCCTGCTCTTCCCTTCCCTGTCCCTGCCCTGTCCCTGCCCTGCCATTCCCTGTCCCTGTCCCTGTCCCTGTCCCCGTCCTGCCATTCCCTGCCATTCCCTGTCCTGTCCCTGTCCCTGTCCCTGTCCTGCCCAGGCAGGGGACACACGCAGCAGCACCCCCCGTCCTCCCGGGGCTCCCAGCACACCCTGACGGCCCCAGCCACCTTCTCCTGCCCCGGTGTCGGGGAGGGTTGGCTGGAGAGCAGGAAAGGTTCATGCCCAGAGGTGCTGGCACTGCCCAGGCTGCCCAGGGGATGGGCACGGCCCCGAGGCTGCCAGAGCTCCAGGAACATTTGGACAATGCTCTCAGGGATGTGCAGGGTGGGATCCTTGGGGGTCTGGGCAGGGGCAGGGGCTGCGCGGGATGATCCCTTTGGGTCCCTTCCAGCTCAGGATATTCCACGATTCCGTGATGGACTCGTGAAGTCACAGAATTACAGAATCACAAAATCATTGGGGGTGAAAAAGGTCCCCAAGCCCGCTGAGTCCTCCTGTTCCCCCAGCACTGCCAAGGCCACCACTGCCCCGTGTCCCCAGGTGCCACACCCACAGCCAAGTGCCACTCTCACGCTCCCAGTGCTGCTGGGCAAACACTGATCCCGTTTTTCCTCCATTTTTCCCCCATTTTCACTCCAGCTGAGCTCAAAAGGATGTGCTTCAGGAGCTGCTGCTCTGCAGGGAGCCCAGGCAGCACTGCTGAGCTCCAGGTCCCCATCCTGGTTATTCCAGGACTGGTTCTGCCCCTGGGCTCCTCAGCTCCCCCTTCAAGGACCCCCTGGAGCTGAGTGACCCCCACGTGTCACCGTCCTGCCCCCAAAGCCACCAAGGCCGTGTCTGCGGGGTCCCCTCTGGGCACACCCACCCCAACTCCTCTGCTTCTGCAGCTGTTTTGTTTCTCTTTAGCCAACCTAGAACAAAGGTTTGGGTGACTTCAGCTAAGGCTTCAGCTTGAGATAGCAAATATTTGTCCAACACGGCCCCCGAGAAACCATTTCCCACATTTGGTGGGTGTGCCAGTGGGTGTTTGGCCAGTCCCAAGAGTTACTCAAAAAGCTGCATCAGGCACGTTGATGGGGTCATCCCCAAATAATCTTGAGGTTCCTGTGGATGCATGGGAACAGTGGGTTCCTCACCTTCCCAAGGCATCTTCAGAGCCTCAGGAACTGGAGATCCTTGGCTCTATGCACATGACCTATTGTGTCAAATTTAATTATGCAGGGGAAGATCAATCTTTGGTTGAAGATGTTACTCCCTACCCCATTAAATTCAAAAATCAGACCTCATGGTGCCACCACGCTTCTTTAGTTCAGCCTGCCTTTGACATTCCCCTCCCGTTACCACACAGAATGTTTTCCATCCCAGCTGTGCCTTTTGCTGAGGTTCTCCCTGCCCCTGCTCTCACACCTCGAGCAGCAGTGACACCACCCTCAGGATAACCACCACTGTCTCGCTGAACTGGTGGGATGAGACCAGAGCCACCACCTGCAGGAGAATTGTCACCTTCTGCTCCCACTCTGCTGCATCAATACCCTGCCAGAAACTCACCTGGCTCAGACAGAGCAAGGCCACAGCTCTCAGGTGGAAACAGCTGGAGTTCAGGAGGGATTTCTCCATGGGAAAGGCTGTCAGGGATTGGAAAGCGCTGCCCAGGGAGGTGATGGAATCCCCACCCCTGGAGGGGTTTAAAGGCCCTGTGGATGTGGCACTTGGGGACGTGGGGCAGTGGTGGCCTGGGCAGTGCTGGGGAACAGCTGGACTCGATGGTCTGGGGGATTTCCCAACCCAAACAATTCCATGATTGCCTCTCTCCTCTCACCCACCTGTCTCATGTCTGCTTTTTCTCTTTGTGTTTTTTCCTGAAGCAGAGGAAGAAGACGAAGAAGAAACAGAGAAGCTGCAGAATGGGAAGGACCGAGGTGAGGGGACAAAGCTGTGTCAGAGCTCTGAAGCATTTTCTGATCACCCCTCTGGGGGTTCACTGGTTCCCTTTGCAGCCCCATGGGGCCTCTGGGTGCGGGTGGGTGGCCCTGGATGAGGTGGGTGGCTCTGGGTGCAGGGGGATAGCTCCAGGTGCAGGTGGATGGCCCTGGGCGCAGGGGGATGTCCCCAGGTGCAGGCGGGTGGCTCTGGGTGCCGGTGGGTGGCCCTGGACGAGGTGGATGGCTCTGGGTGCAGGGGGATAGCTCCAGGTGCAGGTGGATGGCCCTGGGCGCAGGGGGATGTCCCCAGGTGCAGGCGGGTGGCTCTGGGTGCCGGTGGGTGGCCCTGGACGAGGTGGATGGCTCTGGGTGCAGGGGGATAGCTCCAGGTGCAGGTGGATGGCCCTGGGCGCAGGGGGATGTCCCCAGGTGCAGGCGGGTGGCTCTGGGTGCCGGTGGGTGGCCCTGGACGAGGTGGATGGCTCTGGGTGCAGGGGGATAGCTCCAGGTGCAGGTGGATGGCCCTGGGCGCAGGGGGATGTCCCCAGGTGCAGGCGGGTGGCTCTGGGTGCCGGTGGGTGGCCCTGGACGAGGTGGATGGCTCTGGGTGCAGGGGGATAGCTCCAGGTGCAGGTGGATGGCCCTGGGCGCAGGGGGATGTCCCCAGGTGCAGGCGGGTGGCTCTGGGTGCCGGTGGGTGGCCCTGGACGAGGTGGATGGCTCTGGGTGCAGGGGGATAGCTCCAGGTGCAGGTGGATGGCCCTGGGCGCAGGGGGATGTCCCCAGGTGCAGGCGGGTGGCTCTGGGTGCCGGTGGGTGGCCCTGGACGAGGTGGATGGCTCTGGGTGCAGGGGGATAGCTCCAGGTGCAGGTGGATGGCCCTGGGCGCAGGGGGATGTCCCCAGGTGCAGGCGGGTGGCTCTGGGTGCCGGTGGGTGGCCCTGGACGAGGTGGATGGCTCTGGGTGCAGGGGGATAGCTCCAGGTGCAGGTGGATGGCCCTGGGCGCAGGGGGATGTCCCCAGGTGCAGGCGGGTGGCTCTGGGTGCCGGTGGGTGGCCCTGGACGAGGTGGATGGCTCTGGGTGCAGGGGGATAGCTCCAGGTGCAGGTGGATGGCCCTGGGCGCAGGGGGATGTCCCCAGGTGCAGGCGGGTGGCTCTGGGTGCCGGTGGGTGGCCCTGGACGAGGTGGATGGCTCTGGGTGCAGGGGGATAGCTCCAGGTGCAGGTGGATGGCCCTGGGCGCAGGGGGATGTCCCCAGGTGCAGGCGGGTGGCTCTGGGTGCCGGTGGGTGGCCCTGGACGAGGTGGATGGCTCTGGGTGCAGGGGGATAGCTCCAGGTGCAGGTGGATGGCCCTGGGCGCAGGGGGATGTCCCCAGGTGCAGGCGGGTGGCTCTGGGTGCCGGTGGGTGGCCCTGGACGAGGTGGATGGCTCTGGGTGCAGGGGGATAGCTCCAGGTGCAGGTGGATGGCCCTGGGCGCAGGGGGATGTCCCCAGGTGCAGGCGGGTGGCTCTGGGTGCCGGTGGGTGGCCCTGGACGAGGTGGATGGCTCTGGGTGCAGGGGGATAGCTCCAGGTGCAGGTGGATGGCCCTGGGCGCAGGGGGATGTCCCCAGGTGCAGGCGGGTGGCTCTGGGTGCCGGTGGGTGGCCCTGGACGAGGTGGATGGCTCTGGGTGCAGGGGGATAGCTCCAGGTGCAGGTGGATGGCCCTGGGCGCAGGGGGATGTCCCCAGGTGCAGGCGGGTGGCTCTGGGTGCCGGTGGGTGGCCCTGGACGAGGTGGATGGCTCTGGGTGCAGGGGGATAGCTCCAGGTGCAGGTGGATGGCCCTGGGCGCAGGGGGATGTCCCCAGGTGCAGGCGGGTGGCTCTGGGTGCCGGTGGGTGGCCCTGGACGAGGTGGATGGCTCTGGGTGCAGGGGGATAGCTCCAGGTGCAGGTGGATGGCCCTGGGCGCAGGGGGATGTCCCCAGGTGCAGGCGGGTGGCTCTGGGTGCCGGTGGGTGGCCCTGGACGAGGTGGATGGCTCTGGGTGCAGGGGGATAGCTCCAGGTGCAGGTGGATGGCCCTGGGCGCAGGGGGATGTCCCCAGGTGCAGGCGGGTGGCTCTGGGTGCCGGTGGGTGGCCCTGGACGAGGTGGATGGCTCTGGGTGCAGGGGGATAGCTCCAGGTGCAGGTGGATGGCCCTGGGCGCAGGGGGATGTCCCCAGGTGCAGGCGGGTGGCTCTGGGTGCCGGTGGGTGGCCCTGGACGAGGTGGATGGCTCTGGGTGCAGGGGGATAGCTCCAGGTGCAGGTGGATGGCCCTGGGCGCAGGGGGATGTCCCCAGGTGCAGGCGGGTGGCTCTGGGTGCCGGTGGGTGGCCCTGGACGAGGTGGATGGCTCTGGGTGCAGGGGGATAGCTCCAGGTGCAGGTGGATGGCCCTGGGCGCAGGGGGATGTCCCCAGGTGCAGGCGGGTGGCTCTGGGTGCCGGTGGGTGGCCCTGGACGAGGTGGATGGCTCTGGGTGCAGGGGGATAGCTCCAGGTGCAGGTGGATGGCCCTGGGCGCAGGGGGATGTCCCCAGGTGCAGGCGGGTGGCTCTGGGTGCCGGTGGGTGGCCCTGGACGAGGTGGATGGCTCTGGGTGCAGGGGGATAGCTCCAGGTGCAGGTGGATGTCCCCAGGTGCAGGTGGTGGCTCTGGATGCAGGTGGGTGGTCCTGGATCAAGTGGATGGCCCTGGGTGCAGGTGGATGTCCCCAGGTGCAGGTGGATGGCCCTTGGTGCAGGTGGGTGGCCCTGGATCAGGTGGATGTCCCCAGGTGCAGGTGGGTGGCTCTGGGTGCAGGTGGATGTCCCCAGGTGCAGGTGGCCCTGGGTGCAGGTGGCTCTGGATCAGGTGGCTCTGGGTGCAGGTGGCTCTGGTGGAGCAGCCCCTGGCAGGTTCTGTGGCCGTGCCCTGGCACATGTCACCTCCCAGCCCCAGTCCCTGTCCCCAGCAGCTGCCACGGGCCGGTGTCACAGTCCTGCCCTGTGCTCAGCTTTCCTGGCAGCAAAGGTCACACACAGAAATGTGAGAGAGGAGGAGGAGGAGCTGCTCCGGGGGCTGAGAGAAATCCAGCTCTGAGGGGGGCTCAGACAGAGTGGGGCACTCACCAGGGCAGCCCCTGGGCACTGGCACTGTCACCTGCCCAGCCCCTGCCCACGGTGACATTGCCTGGAGTAGTGCCCCTGTGCCAATGGGGACCCATCCCAAAGTGACCTTGGCTGGACAAGTGTCCCTGTGCCAATGGGGACCCATCCCTTGGTGACCTCAGCTGGACAAGTGTCCCTGTGCCAGTGGGGACAAATCCCCAGTGACCTTGGCTGGACAAGTGTCCCTGTGCCAATGGGGATCCATCCCAAAGTGACCTTGGCTGGACAAGTGTCCCTGTGCCAATGGGGACCCATCCCTTGGTGACCTCAGCTGGACAAGTGTCCCTGTGCCAGTGGGGACAAATCCCCAGTGACCTTGGCTGGACAAGTGTCCCTGTGCCAATGGGGACCCATCCC